GAGGATGCTGGCAGGAGTGAGCGTGGAGCTGGTGTCATTTTGGAAATCCCAGAGCACTAACCACACCTTTCCAAAGCCCACCCCAAGAGGCTGTCTGAAGCAGAAAGAAACAATGAGAAACCAGATACCATGGAATTAGTGAAGAATTTCTCAGATGAAACAGGAAAAGGAGGAAATCCAGGGGGGGTTTACGTGACACCTGGCGCAGGTTGAAAGGATCTGGGGCCAGTTGTTGGCAATATTAAACTCCAGGGTGGGTTGGAAAGGGTCTTCACCTGGGCAGAAGTGGGAGGTGATCCAGTCAGACACACACACACACACACACACACACACACACACAACACGGCACGCATGTGCATTGGGAACACCTTTTATTAATGCCAGCCCTCTACCCCAACCCATATTTAGAAAATTGCAGCACTTGGTTAAGAGTAATAGCCGCAGCCAACACTTAGCAGGCTCTTACTTTGTGCTGGGCCTTATCCATACAGTTCATGTGAAGACCGATGTGTCCGCCACTCTGAGCCTGAGGAGTATTTCACAGGATGAGGTGGACGCCCTGCTATGGGGAAATGCGATGCCCACTGCCTGGCCGATAGAGGAATTAAACCCGAGTCTTCCTGGAACGTACTCCAGGACTTATCCTTGGGGTCTGTTTCCCTAAATTCAATTACTGCATAATTACCTGGAGTCCCCTGAAATTCTCACAGATGTATGAGGCTGAGGAGCGAGGGGGTGGTGGGACCCCAGAGCAGCTGCGCCGCCTGTCTACTCGTGGCTCCTTGTGGCTGTGGGGAGCCGAGCTGCTGAACACGGAACTCCTGGGGCAGAGCTGGGCCTTGGTCTTGTGGATGATGTTAGTGGCTCACAGCACAGAAAGTGAGGTCCCTGCCTCAAGTCCCTACCACACACACATGCACACACACTCACAGACACACTCGAGGGAGCTGGTTCCAAGGTTGCTCCGGAAGGACCGTAGATGCTGTGGGAGAACAGCGAAGCCCTTGGCACGCCTCCCAACCTGCCAGGAGCCCAGGGCTCTGCCCGGGGAAGACCAGAGATCCACAAACACAAGTAGGTAGCACCGGCACCCGACTGACAGTGAGAAGTTGGGGCAGGGAACCTACAGTGAATGACTTACTAGTTATGCAGCACAGGCCCCCAGAAAGGCTGGGATAGTCCATAAAGACCTCGAGGAGGGAAGGAGTCTCTGGAGATCCTCAGAACCCTGGAGACTAGGAGCAGTGGGCTACTGGAGAAAATGCAAGCTATGAATTTTTGCCTCTTTCTCCATAAACTGCTCTTTAATCTGGGTCAGGATAGCCACCAGACCTTTATGCTGTCCCTTGTGGAATAAGGACAGGACCTACCTCCTGGAAATGAGAGAATCCCCCTAAAGGGCCTGCATGTAATAGGCACACCATTAATGTTAAACTGTTATCATTATCTGAGAAGGGAAGAGGCGAGGAGAGAGGAGTCGGGTGGGGAAAGGGGTGGATCTCTGCACTAGTGGTGGCAGGAAGTAGAGACTTGGATCCAAGAATAACAGCCTTCAAGACAATTTCCTCCTGAGAGCCTTCACCTTCTCAGATGAGCAGCTAACAACAGAGGATCATATAGTGAGCTCATTTCAAAAAGCGTGAGGATTTGGTTTTGCCCCAGCACAGGCTTGCTCATCTGTACCTTGTCCTCATTCCTATCCCAATGTCATTCACAGCCTTCCAGGGCAAAACTGGAAAGGCCGAGTCTAAGGTCCTAGGGACATAAATAACCCATTCAGTAGCAACTGAGGCCCTAATGCAAAGGCTGCAGAGAGAGAGGAAGTGGCTCAGGACAGTGATTCAGAGGTAAACATTGCTGTGTGCCTGTCCCTTGGTCAAGCTAATGCCGCAGGCCAAAGCCGTTGGAGGAGGACGTTTGCATCTGACTTGGTATGTTTAATGTTCCCTGGTGGAAAAAGTAACCTGTGTGTTTACCTAGGGGGTATTCCAGAAGTGCTGGAGGCTGTCTCCTGACCCAGTTCATCCTCCCTAGCCTGGCTCAGTTTTCAAGGTAACTACGAAGCACACAGAAAAAGGTAAAAGCTTTTGGGTAAAGGGAATGGACACAGCAAACAGATCTGCTGTCCTCCTCTGTTCTAGAATTTTGCTGTTGAGTGCAGGCAGGAATGGGTAAAAGCCTCAATCCAGGAGCCCAAAGTAACCAAAAGACCAAGGGTCATATGCTAATCTTCTCCTACTTCTACATTTCCATGCCCAGAGAACTCCCACCACACCTGACCCTAATTTACAGCAACCCTTCTATACCACTTGTCCACATGTTCAAGGCCATTGCTGTGGTCATGCAGGACTGCTGGTTCTCAGCCTTCTGCGTCTGTCTCTTCTGTTGGACTCAAAGGTCCTGGCGGGCAGGAACTGGCCATGGTGACTTTTCAGGACTGAGACAGAGTTTCCAGGATGCCCAGCTAAATTTGAATTTCACCTAAATAATGAATCCATTGCTTTTTTTTTTTTTTTTT